CGGCGCCCGGGTCGGCCAGGCGCGCGCGCGCGCTCGACTCGTGCCCGGGAGCTCCCGAGAGGCGGCCGCACCACGCAGCCGCGCCACCTCTGTCGCGGTCCACCCGTCCCTCTGCTTCGACTCCTTGCTCCCCGGCCCTTCTTCCCGAGCCCCATGCTGCCCCGGGGATCCGAGGGAGCACCCCGCAGCGCACTGGTCCAGAGCAGCCTGGGCAGAGGGACCGACCGTGGTGGATGAGCTGAGGGTCTTCCTTCTCTCGGCCACCAGCAGCTCTGGAGGGACCCCAGAAAAGAGAGTGGCTTCGGGGCGAGAGGGCTGGATGAACCCCTCCCCAACACATACACGCCTGGACAAGGTCCCCATGCGATCTAACCACTACGTCCCCCAGCACCGCTATGTGGAAGAGCAGACGCCTTGCTACCCAACAGCAGAGCAGAGTGTTATGCGGGGCTTTGCTGAAGGGTACAAGGGGAGTTAGGGAATTGAAGAGAAGAGGATGGGGGTGTGGGCGTCGCAAAGGATACTCCGAATCTCTCTGTGACTAACCCAACCTTCCCACTGGCCACAGAGACGATTTCATCCTGCAAATGGGGCCGAGGAAGGGAAGCCGACCCAGAGGAGTCTTGACCCAGGTCCACTTCCACAGCACGAACATCTCCCCACCCTTGGTGGAATAGCGCCCAAGGAACACACCTGCTTCCTAACTGAGGAAGCGGATCCAGGAGTTACAGGACCGACCGACCATCTTCCTCTGGGGGATCCCAACTAAATTTATAGACTCAGACCACTCCTGACCGCTAGGAAAGCACGGGACCGAGGGTGGAAACTGAGAAGCACGGGTGAGCAGATATCCAGCAACTGTGTATCCACACTCTTCTCAAGTGCAGGGAAACAGGTGACAGTGTTTCGTGGGAAGAGAAGGAAGAACAGCTAAGAAGTGTGTGGCAACATCTATGGGAATTTGCTTATGTCTTCAAACATCTATGATAGAGATAAAGAAAAAAAATCCAGAACCACCCAGGGAGATGGCCTTACCAGGCCCAGGAATGTGCATGTTTAATAAGCTCCACGGGTGATAACTTCGGGGTCTAAGGAGGCTGGAGGTCCAGAACAGTCCTGAGCACGGTTTTGCTAAGTAACTCCCTCTGCTTTTGCTCATAAACTGGTTTCGAGTTGGCAACCTGCAGTGAAGCTTTGTAAGGCGAGTCTACCTTTACTTGCAGTAAACCCTTTCTGCAAGGGCCTAGCCTTCAGAGGGATTGGAGTTAGGTTAGAGCCCCAGTTATGAGTCAGGATACCCAAAAGACAGGAGGACCAGGAATCCTACTCACTCTATACCATGACACTGGCTAGCCTCGGAAGAAAGAGCCTTCTTTCTCTCCACCCAGCCCAAACCCAGTAAGGTCCTCTTCCCTTGTTAACAGCACTGACGAGCTTTACCTAAGCCTATTCGCTCAGTTGTAATTCTTCCTGTATATAAATAGATCTGCTGCTGCAGGGCTCTGGCAAAGTCAGAGGGAAGGTCTCTCCTAAGCTGTGTGACACCTTTCAACAAAGGACTAGATTAAATCCAATTGATGGCTGAGTTTTATCCTTAAGTGATACCTCCAGTAGCCCGGCTTTGCCACCATCCTGCACCAAAGTGGTCCATTTGCTGCAACTGATGAACCTTCACTGACATATAATTATCGTTCAAATTCCATAGCTTGATGAGGGTCCACCCCTGGTGCTGTATATCTACGCTTTCGGTGAATGTCTGATGACATGTATCTCTCATGAGAACGTCATACCATGTCTTTTCTCTGCCCTGAAGACCCTCTGTACATTCCTCGCTCCCCTTCCCCCCAAACCACTGATGTTTTAGATCTCCATAGTTTTGCCTTTTTGGGAATTTCATATAGAAGAAATCCGACAGGCAGTTTTCCTCCTCCTTCACAATGAACCTAAAACATCTCTCCAAGCAAAGCCTTAGACGTCCGTGGACTGTGGTGGTGTGTGTCTGTATTGCCAACATTTGGGGAGTGGGAACAGGAATAGTAGGAGTTCAAGGCCATCCTTAGCTACTGCATATTAAATTCCAAGCCATTCTGGGCTACCTGTGATGATATCTCAGAGAAGAAGAAAAGACGAACGACCAATAGAGAAGGTACAGTTCACTCACTCATTGGCAATTTGGAGAACCATTTAAAAAAACAAACAAACAGAAACACTAGTTGACTAGTCCTGTGTCATATCACATATCCAACGTTCTGTGAAGATTAATGAGTTAAACATATTTTTAAGCAACCCAGAAAATAGAATATGTGTTAAACTTCATGATAGAAATATTTCTTGACTTAGAAACAATGGAAGGAAATAATCCATGGATGTGACTAGTGTACCTTCATAACAAATTATCTGTCAGACTTTTGTTGTATCTAACTAACCAGAAAAGGCTACAGGCAACGAATAGGAACACAAGTCTGAATACCTGCATTGTAAGAAGGGCTCAGAAGAGCTGAAGTACGGAATCCCTGTGTCAAACCAAAAATGAGCTGGACATTGTGGTGCACACCTTTAATCCCAGCACTCAGGAGGCAGAGGCAGGGTGGAGCTCTCTGAGTTTGAGGCCAGCCTGGTCTATAAAGCAAGTTCCAGTACACAAAGAAACACCGTCTCGAAACAATCAATCAGTCAATCAATCAATCAATAAATGCCAAGAAGAAGTCTAAATTAACAGGTGTGGAGGAAATTTAACTTTCTGGTAATCAAAGGGTATACATTAACTTAATGATAAAGGTGTAAATATAATGAGCACCGGCTTACATATATGACATGCAATGTATCACAAGGCCTGTGCAGTTGGAACACATGAGAGATCTGGTCCATTTAGAAAGTGGTTTAGCCGTATGTCTCAGGTCAAAGCATTACATTTTGACTCAGCAGCCTTGAATCTGGGAATGTAGCCAAAGAAATACTCCAAGATAAGGAAAAAGCTATATACTGCAAGTTGTGTGTGGTAGCATTATTTGTATTGAACACTTGACCGAAAGTTGATAGATCAAGTAGTTGGGGCTGTTCCCACCTCCTTATAGTTACCTGACTGCAGTGATCTTCCCCACACCTGGGCCTTTGCACATGTTCCTGGTCCCTGACTGGGGTCCTCTTGCCTTTTGTCTATGAGCCAACTTGCCTTGCTTACCCCTTAACACCTTTAACATCTTGGAGGCTTCAGCCTTCGCTCTTTGAGCATCCCACACTGGCACTTAGCAACAGCTTGTAACTATTTGCTTACTGGACTTCTTTTCCAGGCTGTGACTCCTTTCAGGGTGTGGCTTGTCACATCTTATCTGAGACTTGCCACTGCTTTCTCTGCAGGTGGGTGGTAAATATTTATTAGAGGATTGAATGAATCATTTGCTCAGATTTTATAGCTATTAAGGATGATGATTATAAATAGTGTGCCAATGTATTGATATTATAAAGTATAAAGGCATAGTATACAGAATTATCTCTCGGTAACATTGTTAAATGACAAAAGGCAGGGTGCATAGCAACATACACAGTAGGTTACCATGTTGTAGAATAACAACTATGTTGGCAAAAGAATGTGTGCACACATATTTCCTTGATGAGTAAGCGATCCAGCTTAGTTTGCTTTCTATTGCTGTGATAAAACACCAGGACCAAATCAACTGTGGGAGGAAATGGTTTATTTGGCTTACAGGTTACGGTCCATCGCTGAGGGAAGCCAGTACAGGCACCTGGAGACAAAAACTGAAACAGAGGCCACAGAGGAATGTTCCTTACTGGATCGCTCTCATGGTCTGCTTAGCCAGCTTTCTTCTATGCCTGAGGACACCTGTCCAGAGGCGGGGCCACCACAATGATCCGGACCCTCCCACATCCATCATTACTCAGAGGCGGGGCCACCACAATGATCTGGACCCTCCCACATCCATCATTACTCTAGAAAAAACGTTCCACAGACTTGCCTGCAGGACCATCTGATGCAGCCAGCTCCTCAGCTCAGAGTCCCTCTTCTCAAGGTGACAAAAACCAGCCAGCACACTATGCACGGTAGAAAATGAAAGTGTAGCGGGAACATGGTAGGAGACGCAAAAAAATGTTAGTGAGAATGAGATCTGCTTTATTTTTACATCTGCATTTGTTTTCTAAATCTTGTTTATCAGCTTCTTATACCGTGTATATGATACACTATACAACACTGTTCACAATCATGTATAAAATGATTTCCTGAGAAACAATAGTGGTTGGGTCTGTGATGCCGCCGCCGCCGCCGCAGGCCTGATGGTTGTCCTGCACCAGTCTGCTCTCAGAATAAGGCCACGTCTGCCTCCAAACAGAGCAACTCAGACTAAGGCCAGGACTGCCTCTGAGCAGAAACTCTTGCCAGAATGAATTAACCATAACAAGCCCTAGCTGCAGTCTGGCTGAGGGAATCACGACACAGGTGCAGAGAACTCCACACTTTAATGAGCAGGCCCAGAGCATCCAGTCTGAAGCCTAGTGGCTCGTGACACCTCACACAGATAGCTAGTCCCAAGAAGAAACACATTCACGACTTAAAATATATTCCTCAGCAAAATAATGAGGTGTCTGTCTAGTCACCCAGATACCTGCCCCGTCCACAAGACATACCACTTCCCTTTTGACTACAGAGCTAGCTGTTACTTTTCCTCCTGCCTCCAGGCACAGCGACGCCCACCAAGGCTGTGGAATCGTAAGTGACTTTGTTTTCATGCTCCTGATCT